AAAAATTTCCGCTGAAATTGTGATGAAAAATTTTAATTAAAATTACATTTGAAGACGAAATAAGAGTTTTTTCAACATCAAATATAAAGATTTATATAAACGAACTCACATTATATTAAGAGAGTATTTGTCACACAGGTTTACGTGTACAGTGCGCAAAAAAAGAGATTTAAAGAAACGAAACAATTTGAATAACTTTCGATTTAATGATCAAATTATAACATTCTAGGACTCAATCTTTATGGTTAATATCTTAAACAGATATATTTAAAAAGTGGCACCCCCTTTTATTCTAAATTTAAATTACAAAGTCTCTTTGTAATTTATTTCAAATGTTTCCTGATATCAGTTAATCTAGATCATTCATTTCAAAAACTCCATTTACATGAAGCAGTCGAAATTAAATTAAGCTTTATAGCTTAAAAACTATTCCTATCCTTTCATTTTTTTGTTTAATGCTGAATTCTCATAATATTCAAACATTTTACTTTGATTTTTAGACTGCAGAAATGTTTTGAAGAGTAAAAAATCCATAAAAAAATAACAATAATAATAGTCTCCCAATTTAGTATATTCTTTTATTTTCTTGTAATGTGTTATTCATATAAATTCATTGTAACCTGTTAAACTGTGTGCAACTCGGTATAAAATAAATTTCCTAAATTACAAATGTTATCGAATTTTTTTTACTCATATGGCCTTAATTATAAGTGCACTTTTCAACATTTTAAAATGTTTTCCTCTAAGATATGATAAAATTTATTTAAAATAATCCAAAATACTTTTGCAATAATATTTTTATACGTTTTATAATCTCATATAATGAATTTAAACTCAACCTGCATAGTTTTTATTTGTTTGGTTCTGCATTCATATTTAATAAAATTTAATTAACATTAAATTTAAATTAGAGATTTTAATTTTTAAGAGCATAAGGAGCTTCATAATACTATTAAATTTGAATAAAGATTATTAAATGAATGTACATTTAAAATCAATTCTTATATTTATTGCACTAAAGCTAACTGAAATTAATTTTAAAATATATGCACAAAATTTATGTTTAATAATTATTATTGCACTAATTTGATGTTTTAAAAAAAACTGTGTTCTTTAATTAGCATTTACCTGAAAAATCCTTAACATTGATGTTAAAAAGTATTATACGAGCATTCAAAACATTAACATTTTAAACAAATAACATTTTAAACAAATAACATTTTAAATAAATAACATTTTAAACAAACAAGCAATGATATAAGAATAAAATTTGAAGCAAACTAGATTTCAATAAATGTCTGTCATTATTAAAAGAACATTAATGACGCTATTTTATTTTCTATGAAATTTGATGTTTTACAAAACACCTTGTTATTTAATTAGCATTTACCTGAAAAATCCTTAACATTAATGTTAAAAAGTATTATACGAACATTCAAAACATTAACATTTTAAACAAATAACATTTTAAACAAATAACATTTTAAATAAATAACATTTTAAACATACAAACAATTATATAAGAATAAAATTTAAGGCAAACTAGATTTCAATTAATGCGTCATTATTAAAAGAACATTAATGACTCTATTTTATTTTCTACGAAGAAAAACTTTAACATTTGATTTAAAAACTAATATTAAATTTTAAATGACATTATATAATACAATAGTTAAAAATTTAAGAATTGATTTATGATAAATTTACAATTCGTGAGCAAAGTGGGGGAAAACGATATTGGGGAGGAGCTACAAAAAGACGTAACAGAAGGCATTGCAGAACCCGCCCCCCTCAATCAGCACTATCAAAAATCTCTCTTCTCCCTCCCTTAATTTTCTTACATGCGTACAAGCCGCATTCGTCCGATTCGCCTAGCACTAGCAACAGAGTGGTCACAACCAAAACCAATTTAAAAAAGTTGTTGAGAAAGATTGAAGAAAAAAATTTATTTTACTAATTTGCATCGATCAAGATATTAATTAATAATTAAAGGAAATACATCTAGACGTTAAATTCTGCCAACTTAATTGCGAAAAGTGAGATGAATATAAAATCTGTAATGTTTTCAACTGACATATGTAATAATTTTCATATCTTTTTTAACGTTTTCTGGCTGTTGCCATCTTGAGTAATAAAGCAATTGATTTGCCAAAATTCCTTCATTTTACAGCTCGTTGTTTTAGAGCACTGTTTCTCAACGGGGGCGATACCGCCCCCCGGGGGGCGGTGGAAGTATCCTTAGGGGCGGTAAGCTTGTTTTGGGCAGTAGGGGGGCGGTGAATATGTTTTGAGCGATAGGGGGGCGATGAGCATGTTTTCTCATTCAAATTTAAAATTAAAAAATGAAATTATTAAATTGAGATTAATTAGATAAATAAAATTAACCTGAAATTGATATTGAAGAAAAAAAGATTTAATTAATATAATAAATGAAGATTATCCGATTCACAATTTGTACCAGCAATAAAATGAACTTAATCTACCCATATTCTCCAATTTGTACCAGCACAGCGCATGCGTCAGGGTTTTGCCTCTGACTCATTCAAGTCATTTGCATGCGTTTTTAGTATGAATGTTTGATTTGACCCATGTTTCTTATGATAGTTTTCGTGCTCTTCCTTTCCGTTTTCCCCCTTGTTTCGATTTCATTTCATTGTTTATTTGGCCAGGTACGAGAGTGAATTAGTTCTTTTTCGTAAGTTATTTATTAATTTTGAGAAATAGTTGATTTTCATCCATTGTTTTCTCAACTACGCATGTACTATATACAAGGCCGGATTAACCATTAAGCACACTAAGCACGTGCTTAGGGCACCAGGGGATAGGGGGGCACCACAAAGCTTGACTAAATGTTAGGAGTATATAATGAAATTTTTTTTTGAAACATTACTTAAAAAATTTATTATTTTGAGTTTCCATTTTAAGAGTAGATAACAAGCTTTTCTAAGTATGAAATTTTACATAATAAAAGAAAAAAAAACAAAAGATGTTATGTATCAAAAATTTTTGNAATTTAAAATAGATATTTTGAATTTATTATTTTTAATTGCATGCGTTGACTGGTTTAGGTTTTACATAAAATTTGTTACAAAAGGAAATATAACTAATTTACCATTCAATACGTTATGCCGTTATATACCGCATACGCTACTGTAAACACGGTAACTTAATATGTTTTATCATAAAATATTGCGTAATGCTAATATAACAGGATTACTGTAATAAAATGATTTATATTATAAATTAACAGCGCTTTGTCCTTGAGTCCTATAATTTTGAATATGCATCGAAAGAGTAATAAAAACCAAGGAAAATATTAAGAAAAGATGATAAATAGATATTACTGGTAAATAAATGTAAAAAAACGGCTAAATAAAAAATTTACGTGTCAATACCGTCATAATTTTAAATAACTTTTTGCTAAAGGCAAGCAAATATTTCTGTTTCTTTTTTTCTTTTTTTTTTTAAGTTTAATTATATTTATATCAATGGATTTATCAGCATGAGAATTTATAAAAAGGATATGTTACAATTATCTTTTTATGGTATATAGAAAAATGTAATAATTTTTGTAAGATAAATGATTGAACAATTTATAAGTAATTTAAATCATTGAAAAATTACGATTTTCTCCCCTTTTGAGGAAAAAAATGCCTCATCTCTTTTCCCGGTCCAGTATTAGAATGGAAGCATTCCATATATTTCTTTGCGATTGAATGTCAGAGTAAAAAACATAGTTGCGTAAATCAACACTCATGTCTTAATCAAGTTGTAAAAATAATGACATATGTTCGTAACACATATGTTTTAAATTTTTGCACTTGCTTAGAATAACTTGGTATTTACTTACTACTTAGTGTTTTATTTATTTACAATGCTTCTTTATAATGTTTATCCACATTATCACACATTATAAAAAGGGAATCAAAAGCCTGAAGTTGAATTGAAGTTGCAATTGAAAGAAAAGTATTTTTTGGTAGATCTTGATAATTTATTTTTTCCGTGATCAAAATTTACAAATTTTACAAATAAATCGATTAAAATAGGTGAAAAATTTTAGAAAAGCTTTATTCTTAAAAACAGGAATACTCTCAACCTTAATAACAATATGAGTTACTCGTGATTGTTAGTAAAAGAGTTGCCAATCGATCTAAAAGATACAGTTCTTTTTTTCGCCTTTTTTTTATTATTATTTTTTAGTTCCCACAAAATCAAACTATACATAGATATAGTTCAATTCTTAACACTCATATGTATGAAACATTTGTGACTTCAGTCTTTCATCCATTACCAACTTACTAACAAAAAGAAAAAACGTCGAAAACTGGATCATCGCGTCACTTCGTTAATAAAAGCATCCATTGTAGTGTAACATTCCACTTTCAATTTTTCGTAACTTTAATTTTTTTTCCCTCCCCAAATGCTTCTTTTCTGTCCCGATGTTCGTTGCCAATTTGAGAAGAAATTTCATAGGTTTTATGACGACGCATGATAAACGTTTTATATTACATAGATTTCATTTAATCAATTAATTTGGCGGTTTAAACATTTTAATGCCAAACTATTTTAAATTTAAAAAGAAGCCAAATTGTTTACAAAAACAATTTGCCTTAAAATTTTACTCATTCTGAATAGTGAAGACACTTTTAAATGTAAAAGTCGATTTTATTCAATGAAATGTTGTAGTGAAATCATCTTTGCAATCTTATATGTACATATTTGCATGTTTTTTGCAGCCTAATGTACCAAAATTGAATCGTAATCATATTCTAGTTAGTAAGTAGTTTACATAATTTAAAGATGGCAACTTTGCATAATTTAAAGAGAGTTTAAAAAAATGCAAATAATAATTACTTAAGGTTTCGTAGTAACGATAAGGCATTTAAAATGTTTTTCTAAAATGCGAAAAACTTTCTCATAATTTGTAGATCTTAAAGAATAATTTATGCAAAATAAAAATAAAAAATGCTTCATTTTCTTAGTGACTTTCCTGAAACAAGAATCATGTAGCGTATTAACTTTTGTTTATTCCACAGATTTTTCAACCAAAAGTAGACTTCATAAAAGCAAATTATTCGCCAAAGAATGGATTTTAAAAAATATATCGAAAATCTTGCATGAATATCAAACTTACGATGGTTGGTATAACAATCCCTGGCATCCGTCTTTAGGATCTGCTGGTAAGAGTTCAAAATTAATTTATATTTTATTATTTATATTTTATAATTTATATTTTGTTATTTCTGTTTTTTTATTTCTGTTTTAATTTTTTGTTTTATTTTTTGTGTTTTATTATTTATGTTTTATTATTAACATTATATCTCTATCTCAAAAACCTCGCAACCAACAATAAACTTGATTTATTTATTTATTTTTTTGATAAATCTTTCTTTTTTTCGTTAAAAGATTAAACCAACGACAGTGTTTACTTAATTGAAAATATTAGCTTCAAAATTTATTAATGTAATTTTTTAGCAGGTTATGCGTATGCAAATTCAATTTCCATATTTGTTGAATGTTTTTTTTTTTACTTTCTAGCAGCAATTAATTCAAATTTATAATTATCTTACATTTTGTACTAATTTGACGATTATCATGTCCATGGCGATTATCTGGCGATAATTCATGTCCATGACTGGCCATGATGGGCCCATATCCAAGAGGTCGTGGGTTCGATCCTCACTGGCCGAAGACTCCCCGTGTAGTAAATGGTGACTGATGCACGTTAAATCTGTCGAGTCTCAAAGTCCTCCATGTTACCACAACAAATCCTCTGGGGGTACTGATCCAGGAGTTTCCTTGTCTTCTGGATTGGTTCAAAATTACAAGGCTACGGAGTTGAACGTAAGTAGTCGTAAACCCATGAAATTGGGTCGGCTGTTCAACGACGGTTATAAAATAAAATACTTTAATAAGACACTATAAATTTTTAGTTACATCAAAATGGCTTAACCCTCTTAAAGCATTTTTAAAATTTTAATTGATGTCTTTTGTGATGAAACTTATTTTCTAATGATCCTACTTATTAACCTTTACTTATTAATATTTTAAAATCATTACTTGATAAAATAATAAATATTTATTTAACATTATTTTTTACACAACATTATCCTCAGATACTTAAATTTTATAACTGTGAGATAAAATTTCCCTTAACTAGTTCTCGAAATATTTCGAAATACGCAAAAATTTTAATTAACATTGAGGGGTCTAAATTTTTCCTAGCTTTCCTGCTTAAACTATTATGATTATATTTTCCAGATTACTGCTAACCCATATTTTGAATCTCAGATATACCAATCCGTCGAAAAAAAAGAATATATATTCAGAGAAAGTATATTATTATGTCTGATTTCGTTACTTAAAATATCGTGTCTATACTAGTTAACTAGCATATTTAAGGTTAAGCCAGAAACCATTAAGATTGACTCCTAAGAATCCGAAGAAAAAAGAATCTGATCATTAGATCAAAAGTTATTTATTATTAGTTACACCTAAAGTTCGTTATTTATTTACACTTTTTCATTTTGCGCACTGTACAGATTTAGAAAAATTTTAAAAACAAGTATTTTTTCATATTTTTAATCTCCAGTTTGATTCTTTTCGAATTGTTGTTTGCAATAAAATCTAAACAATAGCTTAGAGGACTTTAATATTTTAAAAAAATTGCAAAAGAAAGCATAAGCCCCCTTTTTTTTTAAGGAGAGTGCTGTAGAACTATCGCAATTAAGCTTTTTTCCCAAATAACCAAAATAGGCAATTTATCTGTTACGCTTTTATTAGAATAGCTGTGTAATATTTCGTTTTAATCATTTTTTAGCTCTTTAATTAATTTATAATATCACGAGAATTTTATTTGACTTGATCAGAAAACGTATAGTCAGAAGCTTCTGTTGCTGTCAACAAAAAATTGTTTTTTCGTAAAATAAAAGCTTCCTTTAGCTTAATTTCTAATAATGAGAGATATTTATCTCTAAAATGTGTTATTGTTTTTTTAAAAAAAAACTCAGCGCAACGTTTTTGTAACCATATAATGTTTCTAAAACTTTAAAATGTAACTGTACTTCATTAAATTAATTAAGTTGCCTTTACTTTTGTATCATCTCATATGATAGTGAATGACATAAGTATTTTGTAATGACTTTATCTACGCAGATCGAATATACACATAAATGCAAGAGTATTAAAATTTTAAATAGTACAGTTTTTTTCCTTTTTTCCTTTTTTTTTATTTATTTATTTATTTATTTTTTATTTACTTTTCTTTTCAAAATTTTTGGTTATATGTAAAACAGTTTTTTTACTTTATCACCAAAATGATTTCCTTCTTCAAGTCATGCTTTAATTGCAACTTAAAAAATAGAAAATATAATATTTTTTAAAGGGCACTATGTTTCGAGATTCGCCACAAGCACTGTTTCCCCTAGATCAGTGATTCTCAACCTTTTTTTTGTGGCGGCACACTTTTAACGATTTCGAAATTTGACGGCACACAATGAAAAAAATTAGTTTAGAGGTTGTGTACTTACCTATAATACACTGTGTTAAATAGTGTGTGATAATAATTTTGAATGCAAAATAAAATAATATGTACTACAAAAGCACGTTTATTAAGGGATTAATTATTTCTTCCGACTAATTTTTTATTAGTTAGTAAGAGTTATTTATTTTTTTGCTAGATTCCAATTGTTAGCTTGTTTTCTTTAGTTATTAACTGTTGTTTTTTTTACATTATTATTTTCTTTTGATTTCCTGTTAACTAGTTTTTTTGCTAATTATTAATTGTTGGCTTATTTTTTTGTTAATTATCCTTTGTTAATTTGTTTTTATAATTGTTAATTGCATATCTTACTTTAATGATTAGCTTTTATTTAAAGTTAATATAATTATATTAACTTTAATAAAATATTAAAGTAATTTTAAAGTTAATATTTAGCTTGCTTTCCTTTATTAATTAATAATTTTAATAGACATTAAATTTCTTCCTTATTTCAACATTTTTTAAAATTGTGTGTCAAAGTCAATTTAAACACTTCCTTCTTATTTTAACCTATTTAAGATTGTCAGAGACAAGGCAATCGCCAGCAAAAATGTACACGCTGTTAAAGAGTGGAGAAATTGTAAAAAGTAAATATATATATATATATATATTATAATTTTTATTGCATCATTTCTAATATTTGGCGGCACATTTTAAGAATTTGGCGGCACGCAAAAGTGCTGCGGCACAGTGGTTGAGAATCACTGCCCTAGATATTTAGATTTAGCCTCTGGAGGTCTAAAACAACGGCGCGAGCAATGTTAGCGGCTGTCGAGAGTGATAACAAGTAAAAGGCTTAATTCAAAATATATTTATATTTAAAAAAAGGAAAGAAATTAAAGTATAAGAGCTGGATGTGTTATTCTAAAAGTTGAGGAGTGACAGTGCACAGAACACCGTGCCCCTATAGTTATGAAAAACAACGTAATAAGACGAAACAAAATTTAATAGAAAATGCGTTATGACCAGATCATTTTTACTTTTGAAAATAGGCACTAATTTTTTATCTTGTCACTCATTTAGAAAATAATATAGTTCCCCCATCCGGAGGCTGTGTCTTGCGTCTATTTAACGGCTTCAAACTTTCGGAAAGATTTGTTATTATTATCTGTTTTTTTAATCACATATAAATTAATCGCACATTAAATAATATTAATACTCGCATTGAAAATCACGCATTAAAATCACACATAAAATGAAATATATACTTAAATAATAATATAAATCATCCAATTAAATACTTTGTCGAAATTTTTCATTCTAACATAATAATGGGAAACATAAGGTGCTTTTTTAAAGTTTATATGTCACATTAAAATGGAGAAAGAGGTGGCAAAATTTCCTCATTTCTAATTAATTTTCGGGGAGAAAAATTCTCAAAATATTTATAAGGAAAAGTAATAGTTACTAAAGTAGAAATTATAACTTCTTTTGAAATAATTTTGTTAAACTTTCATGATGATAAAACGAGAGATTATTTATCGAAACGTATTTTTAAAATTGTAAAAGTTTTTTCTTTCAGTTTTTCCCTTAATTCTCTTTCAATTTAATTTTATTTTCTTGTTTTCATTTTTTAACTAAGTTGAAAAAGAATAATAATGTTTAATTTTAATATTTAATTTTAATACTTAAAAATCGTAAAAAATGTAATTGACACGAAATTAAAAATATATATCATTACAAACCAAATAAAATTCAAATGTGAAAGCATTAATCAGGTTATTAATTTTCCATCAGTCAGTTGAAAGTTCACTCGATATTTAAAAAAATGTCGTTCATGTATAAAATTTCAGATGAAAAAAGTTTGCCTGAGTCCCGATTTTGTTCTAGCGGCCCCATAGAGCAATAAATAGGTCTAGCCGACCCCATAGAGTAATAAATCTTATTTATAACTCTATAGCCGGCCCTGCCAATTTTGGCTCAGGAAAATATAGCGTCTGCACAGAATAAATCCATCGAACCAAATGACATTGCTATAAAGGTGGCATACATAAATAGAATGACATCTCAGTATATTTAAGGAAACTAGTTTGTATATAATCATCAATAAATTATATAAAGCTATTTGTAAACTATCTTTTTCATTGCTTTATTCAGAAACTTAGCTTAAAAAATAAAATGTTGATTTCAGGAATTTAGAAAGAAAATTATAGAAAAAGGTACGAAAAATTATTCTACTTTTACCTAGATATCATATACATGTAAAATGCAATCATGATAAACTGCTCATTCAGGTGTGAATCGCACTCACGTGCGATTACATATGCGAATCACATGGAATGCAAATTCACCATTACAACTTTCATAACTTATGGTACGTTTGGTAAAATAATAGCATTTTCTTAGTTTTACTATTTTTTATGCTTTTGTTTGATTGCTTGGGAACAATTGTATCTTCACACGCGCGTCTGTGCCAGCCTTATGGAATGTGTATGGCCCCTAAAAGAAGTCAGTGGCACTGCTCGAGGAATTCGGAATACGTGTCGTGTGAATCAGAAGGTTTGGACTTGTTTGGAACATTCTGAAGGTTTGGACTCTCCCCCTAGGAAGTGACGTTGTGTATCTATAGTTATAAGAAAGTGACCTAGGGCTTTTGTTTATCCTTTAATCTTTCTCTCTTCGCTATTAGGTCGAGACCTCCTTCACAGAGTTCACAGTGTTGTTTCTGAAAGGGGATGAATTTTCCTTTTATTTTGACAATTATAAAGTCTAAAATAAAATATCTATTTATTTTAATTTTTGATCTTTCTTCAAGAATTTAAAATGTAGTATTTGTATTAAATTTATCAGCATTATTGTATTTATTATAAATGAATCGATTCACTTATAACTATATATTTACTAACAGTTTGCGAAAAAAGAAATATTCTTAAAATAAAAAATAACAGCAGTTTACAAATTAAATACATCTTTATTTATAACCTTTTCTAAAAATCATACTTTGAATGTTTTTTTAAATAAGTGTAATTAATTCATTCAGAAATTTCATCATTAGATTATGAAACTTTAGAAATTAGAAATATATTATCGAGAACTTTTAGATTTAACGAACTAATGGGGAGTAAGGGTTATTTAATTTGTCAAAATTTATGGCTTTCTATTCCTATTTATTTTATTATTTACAAACATTTTGTTACATTTTTGATTATTTTACCATTTTCTATTATTTTTTTAATTGTTTTATTTTATATTTGCTATTGATAAAATTCGTAGCTTTATACCACTAAAATCTTTTAGTTTTAAAGGTATAAGTACCAATATTACGTGCAATAAGTAAGCTTTGATAAATAGGTAGAATGTGTGAAATAAACTTTAAACTATTTTGAAAATATTTCGAGGTAGTTGAAATAAAAGTTGATAAAAACACGGGAATAATTGTACTAAACATATTATGGGTAAGAATACACAAAAATTTGGAACAAAAAAATTCTCGCATTTTGTTTAAAGTTGTGAAAGATTATTATACATTTTATTATAAGTTCTGCAAGACGCTAATTATTTAATCGATTTATTATATGATTTGTTGTTGTTGTTGTTAATAANATAATAAATTTGTGAGAGAAAAAATTATGTCTGAAATATATTCATGAAATATCTAAGTAAATGATTACGAAAAATCATAAAATATCTGGGTAAAAATTATCTTTGAAATCGGAAATCTAATTTAATCCCAGCGTTAAACGCATCCTATCAAAACGTTCGTATCGCTTTGACCAGCAAATTTTTAGGTGACAGGCATCCGATAGATGGGAGGATCAGTTTCACGCATGTACGAGCCATTATCACTACATGTGAAGAATTTGCGAGTGTCGGTTTTCAGATGCAAAAAAAAAAAAAACTTGATTAGAGATTTTTTTTTCTTTTTTGCTGATAGAGAGTCATTTTTATTTAATGCAATTTCTTGGAATGCGATCGTGAACCTGATTAGCAAGTTTTTAGTGAGAAGATATTTTCCGCAAATCTTGGTTCTCATTCATATGTAAAAGTCATAGGCGAAAAGAATGGCCCTTAAATATATCTCATCAGTAAATTCTCATTTGCAGCTGTTTGTATGAATGCACTGAAAACTGTCCCTTGGAAGTATTTTCATTCAGGGGTCAATTTCACTGCATACGAAACATTCAACAAGACAAATATTATATAGATCTGTGAGTCTTCTCGAATATGCATGTTTAACCAATCAATTTTTCTTTTGCATCTCCAAATTCACATCCTCCAATTCTTGGTGTGCAGTGAAAATGATTCCTGTCCTTCCCTGAAGTACTCCTCTACTCCTCTCTGTTGCCCCCCCGGCTGGCACGCCACTGTGTAAATCTCTACCATAATAGGCGATCGCAGCGCTCGAATACGCGATCTGAGAAACATACGTGAAACATAGTTCTAAAATAAAGCAGTATGGAAATGTCAAAGGGTATTTTTATTAGTTAAAAACGAAAAATATTAAGAAGAGGAAAAATATCACTGTATATTCCAATACAGCTGAAAGGAGGATTAGAGGGAAGAGAGAAGGGCTAACGGCATGGAACCGCAACCGATCTTTTCCCCAGATGTTAATGATAAAAGCATGTGAAGTATTGCATGGTTAGATAGTTCTGTTTTGCGCCATCTGTAGCTCATTTTGATCGCCGATTGGCAATCGCGGTTAAATTAAACTTCATCACTAGCGTATTTGCCATTTACTCATAACTGTGATTACTGAAAAAAAAAGAAAAAGAAACTGGTCGTTTGTTTATGTAGAGATTTTCCGTTTCTCTTAGAGAAATTTTTTCCCTTTTTATATTATGTTATACGCTCCCTTGTTTAATTTTTAGTGTCATTTTCCTGTTGAAATAATGGCTGATACAAGTTTTGAATGGCCTTGGCAGTACAGTTTTCCTCCATTTTTTACCCTTCAACCAAATTCTGATACCAAAGCTAAACAATTTGAAGCTTGGAAGCATCTGATATTAGATTATCACAAGATTAACAAGAAATATGTATTGGATATTACCGAAGCTCAGGCATCTCCTCTGTTTTCGAATAAAACCATAAATAGAAAATTGAACTTGGAAACTATATACTTGATTCTTGATGATCTGCAAAAGCAAGGGAATGTTGAGTGGATTGATAAACAACGTCAGCGTTGCTACGTGTTTTGGCGAACTCCGGAAGAATGGGGAAAACTAATTTATGATTGGGCCGAGCGTAACGCTCTCATAAATACTGTGTGCACTTTATATGAAATTACCAGCGGTGATGACGCCGAAAATGAAGAATTCAAAGGTCTTGAATCCGGTGTACTAAAGAAAGCACTTGCTGCTCTGGCTCAAGATGGACACGCTGAATTAATCTTGGATCCTGATAATGAAGGAGTAAAATTTTTTTGAATTAAGCTACATATAAATGTTAAATGAAATGTGTATATGTGATTTCTGAATAACGTTAGATGTATGTTGACTAACTGTGATGTTAAATCAAATTTATATACAAAATGAAACTTTTGTGTTGAATTTGAAAGAGTTTTGTGTGAAACTATTGAGCTAATTCTGTCATGCAGGTCAAACTTATTATCATTCTTATATGCCTGCTCTGTATGCTTTAAAGAACTCTAGATTTTGTAAATTAAATGAAGCAGTAATTGCATTTGTTTATTTTCTTTGTAAGTATGCTGCCACCATATGATACTTCTGTGGTGAACAGGAGAGGTGCTTTTTTCATTTTGAAAGCTTTGCCAGTAGTTTCTGAAAATAATATACGATAAATAATAAAAATATGTATAATAGCTTTTTATAAAAACTGTAAATGTTGAATTATTGTCATCTTTCAGGTCCATGCTTTAATAAGATATGTATCAACATCAAATTATTTTATTAAGGAATTATTGTATTGGTTTGTAATTTTTATTACATAGAGTTTAGCAACAGAAGGGTAGTTAGAGTTTACTGCATAAGGGGTCAGCTCTTGCGCCCTTTTGCAATATGATGCCAGACTTATCATAGTTTTCGGAGTTATTTTAAGATTTGGTATTGTAAAAACTGTATTATCGAGTGTATAAATGATAAAAATTAATATATATTGCAAAATTATGTTATTTTAAAATATGAAACTGAAGAAACATCACACTGTGAAAATTCTACCTTCAATCATAGAATAAGCTTCTCATACAAAAATATATTTCTGTTTCAAGTTACTTTCAGTGGTTTAAAAAATTTACCATGTTATTTTGTTAACTGGTAGACTAGGGGTGCACAACCTTTTTGAATGAAAGACCACTTGCACAACAGGTAGATTAACGAAGGGCCGCATGCATATTTAGTCATGTTGCCGCATGCATATTTAGTCATGTTAGCGGCAAATATGATGATTTTTATGTAAATATTAGTGTTCTAAGTACTTAATATTTTTATCAGTAAACTTAATAACATGTTAGCAAAAAATTAAATGCTTTTAATTATTTAAATTTATTTAAAACTAGCAAAAACTGATACTTTTTTCAAAAAACTTTTTCAATTTCTCACTATAATTTATCAAATATATATAGATATACATAAATATTAGGGGCGATATAAATTCTAACCAAAAAGAAGCATACAGAATGAAAGTGCAAAAAATATAGGCATTTTTGAGTAATATAAATTTGAATTAATTATTTTAATTTAAGAAAATTTATATTGTTTAAACAAAAAACAAATTAGAAGAATTTTTTTGTTGCGTACAGAAGTTCCTGCGGACCACAAATCAGCAGTCGATGGGCCGCAGGTTGTGCACCCCTATGGTAGACCAATTTAAATATATTTTCTGCAAAGTGTAGACTTATTTTCATTCTTACGTAGGATATGCTAGCTTATTCAATTTTTCTTACAAATTCTTTTTTTTTTCAATAAATCCATGCAAACTTTTAAATAATCTTGAGGAAGGGAATGATTATTTCCAATTGCTGAAAATCTTATTAAAATGTAATTTTATTTTCATTCATCACTTATTTATGATAAATATTAAGCTGAAAATAAATATATATCTGTGAACAGAATAACGTTTCAAAACAGTGAAAAAAGGTAATTTAACTTGGAAATCAAAAATTCTAGTGAAATAGAGTATTCTAGCCCTTGTAGAGATAGCAATCTTTCCTCTTGATTATTCTTTAGATTTGTGAAATTCCCAAAAATTATGGTAAGGCAGTTTATATTTAAGTCTACTTCTGCATGTTAAAGCACATATTTCTTCATTGGCTATCTTTTAAAATTACAATATCTTTACTAATTTTACTTAGTTTTAATTATTAGTTACTCCTAGGAAACTATATAAGGTAATATTGTGATTAGGACTGGGCCGTAAATCGATGCATCGCAAAATATCGATTTAATGCATATATCGGCAGGCCGATATAATGACTTTCGTTTTAGGTGATGCATCAGAAATTTGATTTCAGCTACCGAGGGTGACTCTCGTTTTAGGCGATGCATCAGAAATCTGACTTAAGCCGTCATACAAGGCAACGTTCGGTTTAACGATTTAACATGCGAGACTCCATAAGGCTGTCACTGCGGTAACGAAGACCATTTTGATTTCGTCTAATTGCGAACCTGTTGATAGCATTTAGCTACGAAGACTATGTTAGTTTCGTGATGTTGAATAACGAAAAGCGAATTGAGTCAGAACTCCCGGTTTCGTGCGAAGATCGGAGTTGAAATAGAACGCTATGCGTAGTTTCTTTATGCGCCATTTTTGTCTTTGGAAGTTTACTTTTCTTGAAGATTATTTTCAGCTGGACTTACGTTATTTTGTGATCGCTGTGCACATTATTTCGTCAGGATTTAACGTTTCTTGTAAATTATTTTCGGTGAGACTTTTGCTGCTTAGCGATCGTTTCATTGTGCATTATTTCGTCACTTTTTCTTCTTTTTTTTTTCTGTCGGGATTTAACGATTCTTGTCAATTATTTTTAGTAGACCTACTGTTACTTGGTGATCGTTGCGCAATCGCTGTTATCTTAAATTTTCGTTCTGAACTCAATCTATAAATGAAAAGCAAATATGAATAATGAAAGAGATTCTTTATTGTTTATTTTTAATTATTATTTTTCATTTTAAGCTGTACAATTTAAAGGGAGAATTTTGCATTTAACTTCTTTTTAAAAAGATAGTTTTTTAAAAAATTTATTTAATGCATGTAAGTATAATAATTTGATAGCATTTGACTATTTTTAAACAAATCTTCAGTCATTTTTAATAGTTAAAAAATTGGCCATTAGTTGAAACAAACTTTTTTTTTTAAATGAATCAAAAGTTAAGCAATGTTTTGACGCTTTATAATAATTTAACAATAGTACTTAAAAGTTTGTTTTTTTTAATTTCTCTTAAAATTCTTTCAATACTTCTTTGTTTCATAATTTGTTTGACAATTTCATTTTTAAACAAATAAATCCTTAGTCAATTTTATTTTCAAAAAAGAAAATAATAATAAATAAATAAAAAACTTAAAATTATTTTTACATTCATTAAGTATGGAATTAGACCATTAGTTAGTGCAACTTTATTATTTTAAATAAATTAAAGAAGGTCTAACAATGCTTAAAAAGCGAGGTTTTTTTCAACAAATAATTTAAAAAATGTTTTACTAAAGTAAACATTTCTTTAGTTTGTTTTTTCACTTTCATTTTTTTTTCTTTTAATTTTTAATGCCTGTATGTAAAATAGTTTGTTAGTTTTATTATTATTTTTAAACCAATAAATCTTAAATCATTTTTAATTTTAAAAAAAATTAAAATAAAGATTTGGTTTGTTTTTACTTAAGAGATTTTGTTTTATAATAGATTTATTCCTTTTATTTATTTTTGATTAATTTAAAGATTTCTGATAGATAATTTTTTAACATATGCCAAATTGCGATACATCGCTATATCGCGATGTCTAACAGACGATGTATCACAATATAAAATTTCTTCCATCGCCCACTCCTAATTGTGATCAATCATTGATAGCAAGAATCAGGATTTAAGAAAATAATTATTAATAATACTTAATATTACTTTAAAACAATATTGTAAGGAAGGAAGCTTAATATTTCCTAGTAAAGTGGTTTAAATTATCACAAACTTATCTCTAAAATAAATAAAACCTTTTATTTTAAGTCAGCGCCCTCATAAATTTGTAAAGACTAGGAAGCAATTTGTCAAATATTAAAATAAGAATAAAGTAATATAAGTCAAGAACCATAACGTATTGATTATTCTGTATTACTCTTGGCGAAACAAGTACCTATTAATTACATGTTTAATACATTTTACTGAATGAGTATATTTAATCTATGTTTTTTGAACTTCAAATTATTTTGTTTACATCTAATGAAAAATTATAATTTAAATTTCTTATTACTTCCCTTCTCTTTATTTCTCTGAAAAAAATCTTCAATATCAGTGAAATCAGATTTTCAAAAAAAAAAAATAATAATTGACTTTAAGAACATATTTATAAATTATACTGTATAAAAACAGAGTTTCTATGCTACCTAGAATATCGGTGGATTTAGAAAAATGTAATAAAAATTGGGGAATTTTTCATTTTTGAGCCAAATCTGGAAAAATCAGTTAGTCTAGTTTGATTTGGGGAATGCTGAGCTTGTGATTTTTGCACCAACGTTTTTCACGGAACGCACTTTTCAAAGAACACATTGTGCAGGATTTTCTTTTCTTTTTCTTCTTTTCTTTTTTTTCTTTCCATTTGGCATTAATTAAACAAATATATCAATGGCAGAAATGTTTTTTTTTTTTTAATGTACCCAGTAAAGACAGAATTTTATTCTTCCATTTGAGTAGCAGCAACCCTATAAAAAATATGTATGATTTATATCATGCTTTTTTTAAAAAAAGTTTGTGATTTATATTATGCCAACCCTTACAAGAATAACGAATTTGTTCTTACTATTTAAATATGCTGCTATATAGGTCCTGTCAGACAATGTTCTTGTCCTCTATAATTAAATTTCTGATTTTCGAAACTTTTAAAATTGTTTCTAACATTAACATAAGAAAAACAAGCATACTTTTTGTGTTGCATAATTCTGTTTATATGGTAAAATAGCTGCAAAATAAATATAGAAAACTTTACTTTTAGACCAACAGTGAATATCTTACTAATATGTTATTAAGATGCATACAATTATTTTATTATTTCTTCTTTATTATGTATCTCAAGAATTTTTTTTTTTTTTTAACTTGTTACTTTATTTATTAAATGCAAGTCCTTAAAGTGTCAAATTGTTTTGTGCTTCAAGTGCTATTCTTAAATGATTATATTGTATAGAAATGCCTGCTTTTGATCAATTTATGTTCAGTTATGAATTTCTTATAACTTACTATTATGTTATCTTTTATATTTACTAAATCATTGGGTACCAAATATAATTTGATGATAGTATAGATTTTCTAATGCAGTTTTGAACTTAGATTTATTTGGTTTTAACACTAGAAAGACGAATTGGGCTATTTTAGCCTCTCTCATTTTTTGTTGCTCTGTAATTTGAAAAATAACTTATTGAAAGTATTGAGTATTTCTAGCTTTTCATTATTTGATTTATTTTAAGTGCTTATTTCATCATTTATCTGTTAGCGATATATATATATATATATAATTAGCCCTATTAGATTCTGTATTTATATATGTAGAACCTTATACTAAGAATGAGGAAAAGGGCAAAAATGGCCTCTTAAGTATTTTGGTAGGTATTCCATAACCCTTGTTAATTTTGGGTATAAGGTACCCTTTAGTGTATCAAAGACTGCAATTTTGTTAAAAAAAAAAAAAAAAACTCAAGTATATTTCAACACATCTATAATTATTATTTATAGAGATAAGGAGATTAAATTATCTGAGAAACTAATGTCTACATATAATTGAAAAGCCAGTGTCCTGTTGAATCAAATATTTCTATCAACCCTACTAAATAAAATACATTATATAGCAATGTTCAATCTTTCTAGTGTTACTGCTAAATATACATTACAGAATAATTTTTTTATTATTCTAGTCATAGATACATATAACATTGTTATTGGTATATAAGGTGTTAAAAGAAAATTTATTTTAATGATATATCTATGTTATAAGAGCTGTCAATAGAGCTTAGTATCAAATTTTGCAAGATCATAGTTCTGGCCTGGTGACTTCGCAGTATTATAGTGTTATTGTAGATTGTTACAGTGACTATTATTTATTATATTATTATAGTCTGTGAGTTAATATATTTGCATTGTTATTATATATAATGAAACTGTAGGTAGATATGTGTTGCTGTCTCTTTAATTGATATTTAATATATATTTCAGGAAATACTTATTTACATATAATTCATGTCAATTGTCACATTAACGAATAATTAATGTCTTATAAACATTGCTTCAAAAACGACTTGGTAACTAAATCAACAAATTGTGATTTATAGTTTCGTCAATGTCTTGTGTTATTTTTTCAAACTCGATAGTACAGAAGATATTTTAATTGCAGAATTTTAGATAATGCTGTTTATTGCTTAAGGATGTCCTTTATGCCGCATTACTACTTCTTGTATACCTTATTTTTCATATTAAACTTATTCATTTAGCCTGATTTGTGAAAAAATATTATATAATGATGTCTAGAATAATATAATACTAATGTAAGTTAAACAATATTTAGTGCTATGACAAGGCTAACAACTAGTAAATTATAGTTATTTCAATTTTTTTTAATTCATTAATTGTTCAATTAGTGCAAGATTTCTTTTTTTTTAAATTAAATTAAAATTTGCTCATTTTATAGACGCGTATGAATTAATAAAAAATACTTAAATCAAAATTACGTAATTCTCAGTTTAAAAGAATATTTGAGGCATACATTTTTTAGAATGGTGTTTCCTCCCTTCAGTTGGTTGATAAAATAAGTACTGAGCATGCTTGGAGACTAAACACGGGGTACCACGTTCAGAAGACCACCCAACAGAAACACCTGCTCCAACACCCCTGAAAAACTGAGAAGTTCAAAAGTACTGGGTTGGGCAAGTAGGCCTTGGCTCTCCATGGGCTGTCACATAACTGAGTTTAGTTTTAGTTAGGAGATAAAAATTATGCAAGTCTAATTCTGTAAATTATTTTGAAACTAATGGCGTCATTTTGAATTCTATGAAACCTGTTTCCTTTCTGATACATATTCTTATCTTTGTATAAAAATATCTTAATGTGCTTTCAATTATATTTTTTTAAACTTAGGATTGATAGTTATATATTTCATTTATGTTGCTTATTGAAACAATTATGCTCAATTAATTTGCCAAATTTATGAAAAAGAAAAAAATCTAATCAAATTAAGTGCCAAACAAATTTGCCAATTGGTTGCTGACTTATATTACTTGCATGAGTTACAGGATTGAGTGAAAAAATTTCACGAAGAGGCCCATTAAAAAGAAAAAACGAAATTAGAATTATATAAGTAATAACTATTAGTTATATATATTCATTCTTTCTTCAAATTTCATTTTCTTTTTAGGAATTTGAAAAAATTCACATCTCAGCCCATCTAATTTACCAACTTGGATTTACTTTTTATCAGAAATTTCTCTTTAATTTACCTTTTCCCAACTTTGATTCTACAGATACTTTGTTAGAATCTGCCTGATGATAAATATTATGCTACTTAAATGGATCAAATTTCTGCAGTATCATATTTAGTCAATAGCTTTTATGTGCATAATATTAACATTTGAGTAATAACAATAAGGTAATTCTGTTGTAAAAAATATGTATTTTCCCTTTATTTATAAATTTGTTTAAGCTACCAATATCTCGTTTATTTAATACGTCATTATTGTATTGCGTTACTCCCACTGGTTCTCACCAAATAAAAGTTTTTACTTAGATTTTTTTTTTTCAACTAAGCAATTACAGTTCCCATGCAAATGTAATGCAGAAACTGGGTGCTTGACTTATGGAATGGAGAAATTTAAATTTCTTAAGATTTGCAGGAATTAACTAATTGAATCGGTATAGCTAAATAAACTGTCTTTTGGCAGCTGTTCAATATAAGCTTTTTTATGTTCCTGGTTTGTTACTCTGTAAGATAAATTATCCTGAAAACAAGTTAATTCGATGTGGTAAAGTCCTGTAAATTAGTTAAGTTTTTTTCTGAGTGTTTAAATAATGATAACAAAACTTCATATTGCTGTATAATTTTTATTGTATTGTTTTTGATTGCAGCATCTTTCAAACGTCATTATATAAATTACATACTATTTTAAAAAATGCAATATTCTATCATTATAATTAATGAGATTTGAACATAATGATTTTATTTCTTATTGTAGAATAAGTTTTTAACCAGTATTTTTCCAAGACTATTCACCTTGTCTAAAATCTAATTTATGCATAACGCATGTTTACTTTCCTTTTGTTTTCAACTTGCTTCTGTTTCAAGATATCAATATATGTATTATTCTCATTGTGGCTGTGGTACAGTAGAACCTCGATTAGCCGAGCTTCGATTAACCGAGGTTTCTGTTAACCGAGGCAATAACGAAGTCTAAATTTTTTTTTCTCCTCTCCAAAATGAGCTTGGAAGAAATTATACACATATTAGTTCGTTGTCCGCGTTACAGGCTCTTATTTCCCACAAAAGCACTCAACTTCCATGAAATATTACACCCTGAGAAGACAACATCCATGAATGCTTTGCTAACAGTGGTCATGTGACTTGCAAGTTTAATCATGTAAATTTTAAAAATACAATATTTTCTTGATATTTGTGTTATTTTTGAAAATGCGTCTTTCGATATTTAACTAAATATAGTTAAAAAAAATTCCATTTTACTTTTTAAAATTTACTACTAGAGTTGATTTCCTTTATAAGTCTTTTTATCTGTGAAACATAAGTTCATATATGTTTACTTTTTTATCATTTAAAAAACGTTCCATTGTACGTTGTTCCATTGTACGTTCCATTGTACATTCTAAAAGTAGTTAAATTCGCAAGCACGGAGGGTTTTTATACATGGTTCCTATTAACCGAGATTTCCGATATCCAAGGTATTAGCGGTCCCAATTAGCTCGGATAATCGAGGTCTTACTGTAATTAAATAGGAGCTTTTTAAGAATATTGTACTGTCTACTATCTATTTGCTTACCAACAGAAAACTGTTGTAATTTTATTAATTTGGAGATGATATAGATATTATCTTGATGTATTTCTCATTACTAATAATTAAGAATCGTAAAAAAGATAATATTAGACTTGAAACACAAGTAAGTTTAAACTGCGTTTTATCAATAATTGCAGAAATTTTGTAACATGAGATTGTAATGGCTGTTAAAAAATAAATGTGCTATAAAAAAAATCGACGTAAGCGACAATAAATTTTGAGATTACTATATTTGGCATCTTAAACGTAAATTTCATTTAAGAAATTTTCGAATTTCTTTCCAACAGCTTTCTGTTTTGTAATTGAATGTTTTTCTAATTTTATGTATTTCTTGAGATTGCTTAGCTGTGATGATTTAACTTTTCTATGACAGTTTCAAATTGCTTAATTATTCTGTCCTAATAGTGATATTGTTGTGTTACTTGTGACAGTTACAGTTGATTATAATTTTTTAAATTGATAAACTTGTGAATTTTAAAATTATTTTTGCGTGCTTTTGAAAAAGATTGCTATTTTTTATATTTTTTTTCTTTGAAAATAAATGGATTTTTAAATTCATGTTCTCTCTATTTCTTAAATGAAAAGGGCATTTAATACTAGTCGTAGTCATAATCGCAAATGAGCAATAAGGTAATGATTGCTGAATATTACCAGAATCTTAAAACTTAGCTTTGATTTGTTTTCCTCCGAAATTGTTTGAGTTAAAAGTTTTTATTCAAAAATTTTAAGTTTTTAAAGTAAATTTTTTACTGCACATCTTGGATATTATGTGTTGAGGGATTGTACATGTGGAATTACAACAGTCTGCAGCACTCTATTAGTATTTCTCAAGATGTTTCGCAAAGAAAGTCTCAATATTATACTACCAAAACTATTATTTATTTATAAATAAATTACATTTTGTATTAATACAAAAACACTAACACCTACATATATAATGTATCGTAGGTAAAAATTATGCATGCACTTCTCCAACCACTTAAAAGTTTCGTATCTAAACTGAAAATTTTCCAAATTAAGGACATTTTACTTTAGCTTCAAAGAACTGCGTGATCTGCTCAGGGCTAAAGAGAAAATAGAAGGGCTAGTTCACTCCTTTAAAGAATCTCTCGCCGCTCCAAACCTCCGATTTTTACCTGTGACGTCAAGGCGGCGCAAAGCTTGAATTTTTATTTCTAGAACGGGGCGGGCGTTCTGTCTAACTAGCTCTAGCTAATATTGGAACATTCCTTTTTGTGACATATTCCAAAACATTCGTTGTTTTCTATAATGATTTTCCTCAGTTTTTTGCTGTGAATTACAAAAATTTAAAATTATTAACGAAATGCCAGTTTGTGCGATTGCAAGTAGCAAAAATTCTGATCGAAATACAAAAAGAAAAAATATAATTTCTCATGTGTTCCCTAAAGTAAATGAACAACTATGTAAATAATGGTTTAAACCTTGCAAACAAAATGACCCAGTTAATACAAAATATGCAGTAAGCATTTCTTGAAAGAAGATGATATGAGAAATCGTTTGCTTGGATTGCCGATTAGAATGATTTTAAAATCTATTGCAATACCGAGAGTAAATTTTTTTCTTTACAAACAATTTCTTCTCGGCAAGAAAGATTGAATAAACGCAAAGTGTTGATCTGTGGTTCGTTTCAGAACTTTTATAAGAATTCGCCCTCTAAATTGAAACCACCCTGTTACTTCAAAAAGAAAGGCAGGCGAAAAACTGGATAAAGTCAAGGAAAATGAGAGCTAAAATGAAAAGTATAAATAATTAATAGTTAAAATTCTCCTAGTTTCATTACACAGTTTTTAATGTAGTTATTCTAAATATTTCTAACATTATTATGAACCTAAATTATTATTCTGTTTCAGTAATTAGCGAAGGTTGGTGTTTCCTAATGATTAAGTACAAGCAAATTGTCATAAACAGCATATTTTAAAATCAGGATTCTAAATTTAACCCAACTTTACAAACTATAGTTATCGAACAAAGTGTCGATATATGCTTTAATTTTTTTACCAATAAAAATTAAAACTGAAAATTTTAGAATAAAGTATTTATAGCGTTATTTACGACAAATAGTAAAATATTTTTATTACTTTAAAATGGTATTTAATTTAATATTATGGCCAAGAAAAAAATTTTAAACTATGTTTTTGAACGGAAATAATGTGCTAATTGTATAAAGTTTGAAAGCTAATATCAAGAAAAAGTCGAACTTATTTTTACAGAGACAATGATGCGAAGTTTTCATATATCTTTGCTTGCGATCTACGAGATCTGTGTGCGGCGTGACGTCATGAGGAGGGAAATCGTAGCTTCAGCTCTATGAACTAGCCCTTCTTTTTTCTCTTTAACCCTGGATCTACACAATGGGGAAAAAGTTTAGTGATTGAAAGGGTATCTCAAATAAAAACGAGTTGTAAATCCCGCGATGAGCAGGGGCAGACCAATGCATGAACTGCAAGTAAAAAATTGAGGCAGATATTGTATCAAAATGATTTGGAGCGCTACGAACAAACATAATTTTCTTACAAATTGGATAGTCTTGCAATGTTTGTTTTCGTATACGAAGCATATGTCGGTGAGGAGAAAATAAATTTACCACTGATTTAAAAGTTTTCTGATGGAAAGGAAACCCTGGAACCACGTTTGTTTCGATTATGTCGATCTGCAGGGTTAGACAAGCGTTTCAATATCACCAACGGATATTTGTGAAATTTGGAATTATCAATGACAGACCATTCAGGAGATTTAGGTAAGTGCAAGATCTGTCGCAATTGCACTCATTCCTCATCTGTACTTGAATCAATTTCAAAAGAGGCTTTCATAGATCCATTTTAGTAGTTTTTATTGACGATGTTAAAAGTGTATGTTAATTTGAGGTATTGTATTTTATTTTACCATTCATCGAACTTTTTCATACGCACCATTTGTACATAACAGTTCCATTACTATGACGTTATGTATTCTTCATATTTTATTTCTCTGTTTAGAAAGTACTTTGATACGCTTATTACCGTCAGCCTATGAAGGCGGAGTCTATCAACCTAATAATATATCTTCTGCAAACCCTTTGGAAATTAGCGAAAGTTTCATGCAAGAAAAACTGTCATGCGATGGACATACAACGGTATCTTCAGAAACAGGAAGGAATGTGTTTATGGTTTTCTTTGGTGAGGAATGTTTATTTCATTTAGTGTAATTTTTAAATATTCATATTGGATTTTTGCTTTCTTTATAGATACGTTTTTTCCTTCCACTAGGCCTGTTTGTAACAGAAGAACTCGTAAATACGAGAAGACCGTCTTGTCCCCCTTCTTATTTCAACGTAGATATACCGTCGGAGCATGATTTTAAAGTTACTGGATTGAATCAAATGCCTTTTATTCGTTCCAGATACGACAAAAAGAGTGGGAAATCTCCAAATAATCGACTAAAACAAGTAAGATCTGGAGAAATTTGATATTTGTGCCGTTATTTTTGAAAATGGAATACATCCATTTTTTATTTTTACATTCTTAAGGGTTAGTGATTGAATGAATTTAAAAAGATAAATATTGCTAAAGATTAATTAATTTGGGTGAACATTTTAACATCGAACTGCAACAATAATTATTAAAATCGTAAAAAAAAGAATTCAATAAACTACTTACATCACAGTAAAAATAAAATTCTTTTAAGATGTTTCGGGATGTTTGAAATAGTTTAACTCCAAAAATAACGGCTCATATACTAATACCTAACGTTTTAATGTCATTATGGTAAAGTATTAAGTTCTAATTTGATTTTAGTAGCATATTATAATGTTGAAAAAGGTAAGCAAATCAATCATGGGCGTACTCAAATGTAAATCAATCTCAACAATGTCGAGTTTGATTTTAATGGGAGGACCCAAAAGATCAATAATCGCTTCTGGGTTTGATTAATAAAGTAAAACATATGTAAGAAAAGGCAACTCTTCTCTGCCTCCCAGACATAAAATGTCCAAATTGATAAATATTTTAGTAAAAATTTTGCTAACATGTATCTATGCCTGAAATATCTTTGTACCATATGTCAATGCAAAAATATAATTTTATTCATGTTTATAAAAAATTTAGATTATGATAAATATAGGAAATTCTCATGAGGTATAATGTAAGATGATATCTACAATCATTGCAGAGGTATGGTTAAATGTTGGGTATGCGCAGATAGTCGATAATTTCATCAAAATTTTGTACAATGTTTAATATTTAATTAGTTTACTTGGGCAAAATTACATCTAAATGAATGTGATGATGAAAAGAAATATTTATCTTTTAACTTGTGTCTGCTTAAGTGAAAGTTCTGTTTAAGTGAAAAAGTAGACAATATCTGTTTATGTACAAATACAAAAATTGTGCGAGTCGCCACTAAATAGAGTTTTTGAATTGATTAAAATAAATTCCGAAAGGACGTTTATTAATGTAATAGGTATATTTTTGTTATCGTAATTAACTTGTTTAGAATTTGTGATATCATATTTGCTAGAGAGAAAGATAATTGAAAAACATTTTTCATGTATATCTAATATCTAGTGTATCAAAAGTCAAATTTTTAAAAAAGATAAATTTTTAATGGATTGGAACATTACAAAATCAAAGCGAAACATTGACAGTGAACTTAATAGAATTCCTGTAATCTATCTTTTAGTGTTTTTTTTAAATTTTTTTTATCTAAATATGTCTTATAATTGCACAGCTTGGGATTATATAATGTTTTATATTATGGATTACCAAATTTGCAATGATCTTCTGAAACTGTTTAAGATATGGAGGTTACAGATAATATGAATGGGTTTTGATACTTCGAAATGATTGAAATACAGGGATCACAATTTCTGCTAAAGTGAAAAACAAAATTCGTATTGTTCCTACCAATTAAAGTCTCATCAGTGTTTAAAGTAAATAATGAAATATAGGTCTTACTGGGATTTTGCTAGAAATAAAAGTAAAGGAGGAGGGGGGGGGGAATATTTAAGATTTTTTTCTCCTAAATATTTTTTTATTTCAATATTCGTTTCCACCTTTCTACACCCGAGCTGTTTAAATATGGCTTTCAAAAACATTTTGAAAAATAATTAATAGAAATTTAAATTAAAAGAAGCGTCAACTTTTTTTTTTAACTGAGTACATCATTTAATGACATTATTTCGAAACATTTTCTTGCCTTTAATAGTTGAAGTCGAAATGTTTTCTTGAATTTAGAGAAGCATTTATGTTTTTGCAGTTAAATGGAGCTACTGCTTGGATAGATGGAAGTGCTATTTATGGAACAACAAAATCCGAAGCTGATGCTTTAAGATCTTTTCAAAATGGATGTTTGAAAACTATGGACAAGGAAGGATTATATCCGGTTTTAAATGAAGAATTTTTGTCTTATTTGTCACCTTCTCGAAATATTTCTGACAGTAAAATTAAAAAAGAAAAATTTCGTGAGTATCTGAACTCTTTCCTTTATTTTTAATCCGACAAATCAACAAATTAAGTTTTCAGAAAAACTAAGGTAATCATTATTATCAAATCTTCTCTTTCAATATCCTTTTTTATTTCTCATTGATTCTGATTAAAAGACAATTAATTCTTAATTTAGCCTGAGTTTCATTATTATTATTATTTTAATAACGGCAGGCATAGAAGATGCCGGAAGTGTACCCGATGAGCACCTGTGAACCAAAGTTACGGAAGCGAGAAACATTACTCACGCCACACTGCTGCGGATACTTTTTTCATAGAGTGGGCCACATCACAACACACAAAGAAACATCCATGCCTTGAGCTGGATTTGAACCCGCAGCCATTGGCTTCGCAGTCAGGCACGCTAATCACTCGGCCACCTGGCCCTGAATTTGATTATGGATGAACTAAAAACTGTTCAAAGTTTTTTTTTTATGAATAAATAATGTAGAGCACCAACAATCTTCACATTATATTATCTTGTTTTTAGATCGATCATTGAAACCATTTTGTAGTAAAGATTATCTTTAGTCCTAAATCATTTTATTCCTTAAAATACCTCTTCCTTTACGAACTTTAAAAAATGTAGAGAAGGGGGAACGTATTTTATCATATTTGTTTAATTTCCCTCTAAATAAACTGACGGTGGATATTTACAGTACTCGGCAGTACCTTTAAAAATGCAATGCCCTTATCAGAATAGGAAATATGTAGCGGACCTTACTGTACAATTTTCACGGATTTTTTTTCTTGTATAATCATAAGAATGCAATTCTGATATCAGAATTTTTCGAAATATACTGCCTTTCAATTACGAATTGAGCTTTCAGAGAGATTGTTGTCAGTGAAGACGGTGGCTCATAATATGATTGTTCCAGGTCGTAGTTCAACATTAAAAAAAATATCTGTTTTTAAATTTTAGGAAACTATCCTGTGTAATTTACATAAAGAGAATTTTTTTTCTTTTTTTGGTTATCTAAATTAGTTTCTGTTAGTTTAAACAGCAATGAAAATAAATTTTAAAAATATAAAAGCAATCAGATTTACAGTATTTAATTAACGATCTGAAATAATTGCATAATTTTATTGCTTTCAACTTTCGAAATTTTTTTTTAAAGTTCTAAGAGTTACCACGCGCTCTTTCCCCTAATCTATTAAAAACCTTTTCAATTTTTTTGAAGTGCATAGTACTATCAAATGATGTTCTATCTTCAAAAGTTTTCAAAACCCTGAAAAAATCAAAATCAAAAATTTTACATAATATCCAAAATGTCGAAGGACGAGGTCGTCGTAGAGCTAGAGGCAGCATATCTGCTGCAAGCCTCGATTCATGTTCTCATTTTTGTCTGTTCGTTTATGTTTATATACAGGGTGTTTATAAAGTCCCGGACCCATTTTGATATTTAATAACTCATAAAATAATAAAGATAGATTAAAATTAATAACATAAATGGTCAGATAGACTCAAAAAGTTTTATGACCCTTGTCAATGAACTTCCACGTGTGCCCCCTTCGCCGCACGAAGAATATCAAGTCGATAGTCAATTTCACGCAGGTAGCGGCAAGCATGTCGGCATCCACAGAGGCTATTGGGGTTTTCTGAAGTGCATAATGTTCTCCGACGAAGCATCCTTTCATGCTTCTGGCATTGTTAATCTCCACAATGTGCGCATATGGGGATCTGAAAACCCGCGCGAATACCGTGAGACACAAAGGGATTCCCCAAAGGTTAATGTGTGGTGTGAACTAATGCACGACCGAGTCATTGGGCCTTTCTTTTTTACAGAAAAGACGGTCTCGTCAGTCCTATACTTAGACATGTTGGAAAGCTTCGTATTCCCACAACTAGAAGAGCTTCAGCCACATATCTTTTTGCAACAAGATTGTGCACCACCTCATTGGGGTATCATCGTTCGTAGTTCTTTGAATGACCATTTTCCAGGAAGACGGATTGGGCGAGGAAGTCCAATTCCTTGGCCACCCAGATCACCTGATGTAACACCGATGGACTTTTTTCTTTGGGGATTTATAAAGGACAATGTTTACAGGAGGATCGTGTCGAACATTGATGACCTAAAAGCCAGATTTACAACTGCAATAGCCTCTGTGGATGCCGACATGCTAGCCGCTACCTGGCGTGAAATTGACTATCGACTTGATATTCTCCGTGTGACGAAGGGGGCACACGTGGAATTTCATTGACAAGGGTCATGAAACTTTTTGAGTCTATCTAACCATTTATGTTATTAATTTTAATCTATCTTTATTATTTTATGAGTTATTAAGCATCAAAATTGGTTCGGGACTTTATAAACACCCTGTATTTCTCCAAATAGAGTAATTTTGATTTTTTTTTATAGGGGTTGGCAATCATTTTGCGCATGAAAGTCCCTTCGTTTTAGTCATGAATATAGTGTTTTTTCGTTTGCATAATATTTTGGCTTCTACAATGTGTGAAAAATTTCAAGATTGGAATGATGAAAGATGTTTTAATGAAGCTAGGAAAAGGGTGGTTGCGATTATGCAGGTAAAGTTATATTTTTATTTATTGACTAGGCTGAATGCCCGTTCTTCATCCAGGAGGGGGGGGGAGTACTGAACAACACTAAGAAATCTTTCGAGGCACAATAAAAAAAAATTCTTTTCACAGTTTCTGTATTAAAACTGTATAGCATTGATGACAGGTTCCAAATAAACTAATATTGTCACTTTATTGGTATCTTTGGAACCTATTGAAACAGAGTACCAAATCATTATACCAGTAGTACATAATACCGACACTAATTAAGCATCATTGGCGTCAATAATAGTACAGAGATTTTTTACGTTTCTCCTAAACGAATTAGAACAATTTCTCCATTCATTTTGCTTTTTAATGCAGCGCATTTTTTATTTTAATTGGAACCTATTGTCAAAATTAATTAAGCATGAAAGGTTTTCGTGGTTTTCCGCTTCATGTAACGCGAATGCGGGTTAGTTCCATCGCAAAATCCTCCACGAAAGCAAATTTCTCCCAATACTCGATCCAGGATTTCCCTTATCTTCCGGATCGGGTTCAAAATTACAAGGCTATGGAGTTGAACGTTAGTAGTTCGAAACCCAAAAATTGGGTCGACTATTAAACGACGGTTATAAAATAAAAAATTAGTAACTATTAAAAAAAACTTATTAAGCATCACTGGCGTCACTAATAGTAAGACGATTTTTTACGTTCCCCCTAAACTAATGAGTTCATTTTCTCTATTAACTTTAATTATAGAATGACAAATTATTACGTTTGTTCTAAACAAACTAGTACTATTTATCCACTAATTTTGGTATTCAGAACATAACTTATTTATTTTCATTTCAAAATCCACTGATTTTAAATTATTTAGTTTCATAGAGTCACCTTTTAAAAGCATAACTATAAACACGCGTTTGATATTACTTAAGGAATACAAATTTGGTGACGTAGTCTGTTTATGTCACCACGTTCACGTTAATTATTTAGTTCATCTGACACATCTAATAAGAAATAATTAGATATTAAACAACGTACAAGAACTCTTTTTTTATTAGCGAGAGCTATAAGCTAGAAAACAACAATGATCATTAAAATATTCGAAGGAAGAAAAAAACAGGATCGTCTGCAATTCAATTTTTATGAATGCCGAGTTCAAAGCCAATAAGAACATTTTATTTTTGAAACGTTTCTCAAGAATGATCTTACAGAAATTTTTGAATGATTTTTAAGATCGGATCTGAGGTTTAAATTACTCCTTTTGTCCACTGTCCAACTTTCAAGACGTTGGCACAAACGGTTTTGGAGTTCTAAGATCGACAGATACACATAACAAACGCTTCATTCTATTATTATAGATTATTTTATTGAAGCTTCGTTAGATTAAAATGTATTTTTTCCCCCAAATATTTCTGTAAGACTGCGTATGCTGATATAATACATCTCCAGACTTAAAAGCTTTCTCAAATAAATGATCGCCAATCAATTTATATTGCTTAAACACTAATAAGAATCATAATGGGATACTTACAAGTGAGTGGGTATCTCGATCCTGATTGGTTGCTGCAACGTGGCATTGGTTTACGTTAGCAACTGTTCCTTCCATTCTAAGCCCGTCAAGCATCAATTCTCTTAAGTGACACATTCTATATTCTTTCACAAAGATTTAAATTATTTAACTATATATTTCTTACTTAACACCAAGACAGACACGAAGCCATGTAGAACATAAGTAAATTATACGTTGAAGTTATCAAGTGCACAAAATCAAAATATATAACGGTTACAATAAAAGACATAAACAGATACTGAATCTAAGTTAAGTAAAAAACATAGATGAGAAAGAATTAAATTTTAGCAACTTCGATGTGAGATACGTCGTTGTAATTGATTAACTTTACGTTAATCAATATTCTAACTTGTGCGGAGAAACTTAGCTCGACTTTAACGCGCCATTTAACGTTTTTAAAAAATCAGCTGACACTGGGATCATAGGTCACATGTCTGTGTATGAGTGATCGTCTTCTTCTCGGGCTGCAAGTACCCAATCGAAATAATTTCTTTTGTACTTAAACTTACTTTAAAATTTATATTATTTCTTTTTAACTATAATAAGTTAAAAATTGATGTAAATTTAATTATTTAAATAAATAATAATGCAACTCAATACCTTTGTGCTCATATTATTTTTTGCTGTTAGCAAAAAATAATTTTTTGGAGGTTTCAGATTTTCAAGCAGGACTTTAATTTATCTACTCATTATTTATGAGTTACAAGTAAAATATTTTGTTTAATACTCATAATATACTTTAATTTTATTTTGTTTTTGGATTTTTGCAGAATATTATTGTGAATGAATGGCTTCCCGCATTCTTGGGTGAAAAACTTCCAGACTATAGACGTTTGTTTTTCATTTTTTAATATTATTCTAATATTGTATATAGAGAGTAAAGTGATTCTGAGGAAAACACATTTATTTCAGGATACGATCCTAGTATTGATCCTAGCATTTCGAATGTTTTTCAATCAGCTGCAATGAGATTTGGCCATACCATGGTTCCCCGAGGTGTTTACAGAAGGTTTTTTTTCCTTTATTCTCAATTATATTTATGTCACAAACATGAATTTTAAAATTATAGTTCGTTTTAGAAAGCTAAGACATCCACTTAATCTGAGAAGGAGAGGTCGACTTGGGCGCTTTCGGGCGATCAAATTTAAGCCTATTTTGATAAAGATGGCTTGTGATAAAGATAAGCCGATTTTGATCAAATTTAAGCCTATTTTGATAAAGATGGCTTGTGATAAAGATAAGCCTATTTTGATCAAATTTAAGCCTATTTTGAAAAACATTCCTGACGTGAGCAACATCGTGCGAAATATTTTACGAAACTAAAATGAACTTAAAAAATGTGTTTGTTACTAGAAATATATACAATGCTTTGCGTTCTTATTTAAAGTATGAAATATAAGAATCGCAGGGGAAAAAAAGGCACATTTTTTTTCGCGCTATTTCTAAAAATAATAATTAATGGATGATCGAAGAAAAAGAAAAATTTTGTTATTTAATAAATTAACTAATATTAATAATTAACTGTTATTCAATAAATCAATTAATTAACTAAAATTCAATAAATTAACAATTCACTTTTTTAAAACGCACATTAAACTGTTTTATTATGTTATTTATTAATAGTATATGATTACAAAATTACTAGTGTAGGGTTTGCCTTATAAATACTCCAGTACGCATCCATACCTTTGCCATGAAAAATACTCCAGTATAATGAATAAAAGGTGATGTCCCTTTACCTTAAAATACATTAATGTAGAAAATACCGGATGAATGCCTATGCCAAAATAAAATTCCTGTCTATAGAATAAGAAGCAATGGCCGTTTATCTTAAAACACATCGATGTAGAGAATACCGGATAATGCCTTAAACTTAAAAATAATTCTATCTATGGAATAAAGGGCAATGGCTCTTTGCCTTGCCAAGTGTGTCATGGGCAATGGCCCACGCATCCCAACCGGGTTACAGCTTTATTGTTAATGCAGATATAGCTTTATTATTCATAAAGATGTAATTAATAAACATCTTTATTATTAATAATGCATGGTGATAATTTAAAATTCATGTCTTTCTTATTCAAGAAAACAAAATAAAATATAAACCTACTTGTAGTATCAAAGAATTATTTACTGATACTAATGAATCATTATCATACTAATTTAAAGTAGGAAATAATCGTATTTCATACCCTGCATTGGCATTGTGAAAAACGCTTATTCACTTTATGATTTGTCGGTCAATTATGTCACGTGGATTATGGAAAAAAGAAATATACAATAAAAATCTTTCATTTATCGGCTAATAGATGGCGCGTTTCATACTAAGTTGTTAAGAGCGGTTTAAAAAGCCAATAGTCACTGTAGAACCATCTTTCTGTACCATGCTATTACAGAAAAACTGTAAAAGGGGATTGCAAATTGCGGAAAGTCTTTGCTGGAAGACGAAGGAAGTGGTTTTAACTTACATACAAAACTGAATTGACAACAAGCATTGCTGCAATAGGTTGAGAAATCCTTCGTGTTACTGTTAAACTCGCAGTGACGCATTTTGAATATCTTTTTAACGAAAATGCCCATTAAACATTTACTATGATTATATATTATTTACTAAGATTAGGATTATTTACTTAGATTTGGTATGTGAGGTTTTGAGTCTCTCCAGTTGATGTGTTTTTTTATTATTATACTATACTTGTCATTTTCATCTAGTGGTCGAACTTTGAACTAATTTTATTTTATATTTCTTTTACCCGTAGTCCATGAACCTCTCATACCAAATACCATAGACATTCATCAACCAGAACAGACTGTGTTGATCTAAATTAAATTACTTTAGCTATGACCTCTCTTAATACTATAATACTTAATACCTCTAAGTTGTATTATAAAAATTGTAAATCAAATTGAATTTTTACTTCAAAATTTTGTAATTTTTCTTTTATTTATTTATTTATTTCAGATCCAACACCGACAAGTGTGAAAACTCAGTTATTCGTTTGTGTGAAAGTTTCTACGATGCCAAGGTAATTAAAAACTTAACTAAAAATATATATTAAATTAATATTTGAAGAAATATCCGATTAAATATTCAAGGTAATTAACTTTTCTCTTTCATTTTAAAGTGTCTTCGCTTCTTCATAAAAATAATTTGTACATTAAAGAAGGGAAATCGTACAAAGAAAAAGATAATCAAAAATTGTTAGATTTAAAATTAGTATGAAAGTTATGGACACTATAAAAAAGAAAGTACGTGCACACATGAATATTTGAGTTAATGTTCGTCCATGTATTCAATCATGTTCGCCCATCTATTTTCCTAAACAAAATATAGTTCCCGTTTAGGTATAGAAACTCTTGATTTTGGATTGTTTAGATTTTGATACAGAAAAAGCGCTTTTTAAACTTATTTTATTGCTCCTTTTCAGGCAGGAAAGTGATACTACTATCATTTTGACGTACGGAAAAAGAATATATATACGTATATATATACAGTCAATTCGCTATAACTCGAAGTACGATAACTCGAATATTACTATAACTCGATTTTGAATTAATCGACTT